CCACTTGGGTTTCTCACATCAAATCCATATGGGCAAAACCAAGTGGAAACATATAGTAGGTCCTTGCTAGGTCAAACATGGGAAACACTTCACTTGGTTGAAAATGGGAAACACACGTAGGGCCCACTTGGGTTTTCCACTTGGGTTAGACATGGGCAAACACAGTCATTTAAGGATAGGCTGTTGTTGTGTGCCCCAGGTGTGGCAAAGTGAGGTAATCAATATATGTTTTAGTATCGATGACACAGGTGGAGCCCACCTGGTCAAACTATATGGGTCACACATGGGCAAATGCAAGTCAGATCCCGAAAACATGTCTATGTGGGCCCCAAATGTGTTTTGTTAAGTTAATATGGGCATATATTTTATGTGGGCTCAAGTTTTTTTTATAATATATGGGACCCACTTGGGCTACGTTCACACTGCAGGCTAAAGCCCATCAAATCCGACTTTTTTGACCCTATGCAACCCATATCCGATCATGGTATGACCGCGTGAACAGCACAAATACGATATTTTCCAATCCGATCTGGGTCACTTTCGTATGTGGTACTGAATCCGATACATATCTGATGTTTTTGAAAGCGACTGCTATTTGAATGGTCATGTCGCATTAACTCCATCTTTTACATCAGCGACACAAGACAGACACCAATTATCAGCGCCCAAGAAGACACCGTGAACGCTTCCTGACCATCCCGTGCAGATGTCAGTGAAACTGTTGGGTGCACCTGTGGATGCATATAAGGCAAAACACAGAGCCTGTTTCTTTGACATGGGAAAATCAAGAGATATCAACCAAAACACCAGGAAAAGAATTGTGGAGCTCCATAATTGTGGCTCAATTTTGAATACAATTTGGTGCCATTTGCAATTAAGAAATACATAAAATTTCTCTCTTTACTCTTAAATTTAACAAAAAAAAATAAACATCTATTCTGATTTGATGTTACAACTAAAAAAGTGTTTTTATCTGAAGAGTTTGTAAATATCTGGTTTCCACTGTATATTTGATGATGTTGGTGTTTGGCTTGATTGTCAGCACAAAGAGGGAGAGAGAGGAACAGAGA